ACACCCAGAAGACGCCATGGAGAGTGATCAATGGAAGTTGTTGGTTAATTCAAGCGATATCATTCGTCACAATCGCTGTTTTAATCATCCACCAGAAGAGATTTCGAGCAGACACTCATCCGGTCTCTCTTCGGGTATTCTGGGTTGTAAATTTCATAGCCATTGCATTAATCGCCTCTTCAAGTATCATCCGTCTAGTTTCCAACACTCCATTATCGAAAACCGAGGACTTAATTGCATCAATCTGTTTACCATTTTCGGCTTTCTTCTTGATTCCATCATTAACCGGTTCAACCGGGATTACAGTGACAACAGAATCCAAACCTGAATTGAGAAAATCATCGAATGCGAGTGGATGGGCATCTGCTTCCATCTTTTCAAGAACGTTTTGGTTATGGTTGAATCCGTTATTGAAGAAAGGTTACAAAACCCCGTTAACAATCAAAGACATCCCTTCACTTTCTCCACAACACCGAGCCGAAAGACTGTTGTCCCTTTTCGAAAAAAACTGGCCCAGACCCGAAGAGAAATCGAAACATCCAGTTCGAACCACACTGCTTCGTTGTTTCTGGAAAGACATCATGTTCATCGGCTTCCTAGCAATCATAAAGCTGGGTATTGTGTATGTGGGGCCACTACTCATCCAAAGATTCGTGGACTTCACCTCGGGCGAAAGAAACTCTCCATTCGAAGGATTTTACCTGGTCCTAATCCTTCTAGTTGCAAAATTGGTTGAAGTTCTATCATCACACCATTTCAATTTCCACTCTCAGAAGCTCGGGATGTCGATCCGGTCATCCCTTATAACCTCTCTGTACAAGAAAGGTTTACGCCTCTCGTGCTCGGCTCGGCAGTCTCATGGTGTGGGCCGGATTGTGAACTACATGGTTGTAGATGCTCAACAGCTCTCTGATGTTATGCTTCAGTTACACGCAGTTTGGCTCTTGCCATGTCATGTTTTGGTGTCATTAGTCATTCTTTACGGGTACCTCGGGTTGTCAACCGTGATCACTCTCACTGCGGTTTTGGTGATTCTACTTTTCGTGTTTTGGGGTACGAAAAGAAACAATCGGTACCAGTTTAATATAATGACGAACCGGGACTCAAGGATGAAGGCCACAAACGAGATGCTTAGTGACATGAGGGTGATTAAGTTTCAAGCTTGGGAAGAACACTTCAACAAGAGGATTCAGACATTTCGTGAGTCTGAATACGGTTGGCTTTGCAAGTTCATGTATTCGGTCGGTGCAAACATGATTGTTTTATGGAGCACACCATTACTTATCTCGACGGTAACATTCGGGAGCACGATTTTGCTTGGGATAAAGTTTGATGCGGGGACGGTTTTCACGGCCACATCGCTGTTCAAGAACTTGCAAGAACCGATTTGGAATTTTCCTCAGTCGATGATCTCGCTCTCTCAGGCGATGATCTCGTTAGGGAGATTGGATGAGTATATGATGAGTAAGGAGTTGGAAGAAGATTGGGTAGAGAGACACCAAGGCAACAATATGAATGTTGTTGAGATCCAAAACGGGTCGTTTAGCTGGCATGATGAGTCTTCAGAAGGGGTAATGAATATGATTAAGAACGTCAACTTTGAGATTAAGAAAGGTGAACTTGCAGCCATTGTAGGGACTGTAGGATCTGGGAAATCGTCTCTGCTTGCATCTGTTCTTGGTGAGATGCCCAAAATATCAGGGAAGGTCAAAGTGTCAGGGAGCACTGCATATGTTGCACAAACACCATGGATTCAAAACGGAACGATTCAAGAAAACATTCTGTTTGGTTCACCAATGGACAGACATAAGTATAAGAGGATAATAAGAACATGTTGCTTGGAGAAAGACTTGGAAATGATGGAATTTGGAGATCGAACTGAAATCGGGGAACGTGGGATTAATCTCAGTGGTGGTCAAAAGCAACGGATTCAGCTTGCACGGGCTGTTTATCAAGATTCTGACATCTATCTTCTTGATGATGTGTTTAGTGCTGTGGACGCCCACACATGTTCAAAAATATTCAAGGTACGTGATCATATAATTAAACTGTATCACATTCATCTTCTTCTTCTTCTTCTTCTTCATATGTATAAATTTTGTTGCATGCAGGAATGCATGAGGGGTATCCTTAGAGACAAGACAATCTTACTTGTGACTCACCAAGTTGACTTCCTTCATAATGTGGATCTTATCCTGGTGATGCGTGATGGGATGATCGTACAATCAGGAAAGTATGATGAACTGGTTGATTCTGGTCTGGATTTTTCAGCTTTAGTATCAGCCCATGAGACCTCAATGCAGCTAGTACAAATGGAGTCTACTACTGAACCAGAAACCGTAACAAAATCTCCTAGCCATAATAAGTCCTCAGTGGAAGGAAAAAAAAAAGATCAGAAAGCTTCAGCACGATCCCAATCAAGTTCTATAGTAGGAACATCAAAACTGATTGAAGACGAGGAGCATAAAACAGGAAGGGTGAGTTTACATGCCTACAAAGTGTATGCCACCGAGGGTTGTGGCTGGACTGGTGTGGTCCTGTTTCTGTTGTTGTCGGTGCTGTGGCAAGCCACACAGATGGGTAGTGATTATTGGTTGGCTTATGAAACTTCAGAGGATCGAGCTGCCTCTTTCAACACTTCTCGTTTCATTGGAGTCTATGCAGTTATTGCATGCGTTGCATTTGTCCTGTCATTTGCTAGAACTGTTTTATATACATTCCTGGGGCTCAAGACTGCACAAAAGTTGTTTAAACAGATTCTTCACAGCATTCTTCATGCTCCAATGTCATTTTTTGACACCACTCCTTCAGCAAGAATGCTTAGTCGGGTAAACTTCCCCCATTTTTTTAGGCAAAAAATGTATTGTGTAACAACCTGATTGTATGCTTTTTATTAGATGTTTTTCAGGCATCAGTTGATCAAACCAACATCGATATTCTGCTTCCATTCATGATGAATCTGAGCCTTGCTTTGTACATGTCTGTGATTAGTGTCATCATCATCACGTGCCAATACACTTGGCCGACAGTCTTCCTACTGATTCCACTCGGTTGGCTCAATTTCTGGTACCGGGTATGTGTTTAATTTGTGAAGTCATCAGGATACAAAATGTTTTTTTTCCTTTTAAAAAAATGATTTCTTTTTATCCTAACTTTTTCAGGGGTATTACCTTGCAACATCTCGCGAAATAACCCGACTCGACTCGATTACCAAAGCACTCGTCATTCACCACTTCTCAGAGAGCATATATGGGGCTATGACGATCCGGTGCTTCAGGAAACAAGACAGGTTTGTTGAAGAAAATGTTGAGCGCGTGGATGGAAATCTAAAAATGGATTTCCACAACAATGGATCCATTGGGTGGTTGGGCTTCCGTATGGAGTTTCTAGGAAGCTTGTTTCTTTGCTTTTCCACTCTTTTCATGATCATCTTACCCAACAACATCATTAAACCAGGTACTTTCTCCCTTCAAAACCCAACCAAATTATATATATATATATATATATATATATATATATATATATATATATATGTATATATCCAGGTTTCTAATCGAATTTGGTACTCATGATTACAGAGGACGTTGGACTGTCACTCTCGTATGGGTTGTCCCTAAACGGTTTGCTGTTTTGGGCTTTATTTGGAAGCTGTTATGTTGAAAACCGAATGGTTTCGGTTGAAAGGATAAAACAGTTCACCAACATACCATCAGAAGCAGAATGGGTGAAGAAAGATGGCCCACCTCCTCCGAATTGGCCTACTCATGGCAGTTTGGAGCTCAGAGACTTGCAGGTAGCCAGGATACCACATTATCAAGATTCAACATTTCCACTTCATATCTGTCAAATTGAACTTGATTAATGTTGGCTTGTGAGCAGGTTAGATATCGCCCAAACACGCCTCTTGTGCTCAAGGGGATTACTTTAAAGATTGAAGGGGGGCAGAAGATTGGTGTTGTTGGGAGAACAGGCAGTGGGAAATCAACTTTGATCCAGGTTCTGTTTAGACTTGTGGAGCCATCTGGAGGAAGTATCATCATTGATGGTATCGACATCTCCACACTCGGACTTCATGATCTTAGGTCTCGATTTGGTATCATTCCTCAAGAACCCATCCTTTTTAAAGGCACAGTCAGAAGCAATATTGACCCTATCGGTCAACATTCCGATGAGGAGATATGGAGGGTAAATACGTCATTTTTCTTTCTTTCTTAAATCTTACTCACTCACCTCACCTCCTTTGAATTTGATCCATCTAACATAAGAATATGCTTTTTAGAGTCTCAAACGATGCCAACTTAATGATGTTGTAGCTGAAAAACCTGGGAAACTTGATTCTGCAGGTACTTAAAACGGATCTAGGGACTTTTTTTTTTTTTTTTTTTTTTTTTTTTTTTTTGTCAAAATAGAAAAAAAGATGTAATCTTGTTTTTCGCTTTTATATTTGGGTGTTTTGTTTATAGTTGTTGATAATGGGGATAACTGGAGTGTGGGACAGAGGCAACTTCTCTGTCTGGGAAGGGTGTTGCTGAAGCACAGCAGGCTGTTGTTCATGGACGAAGCAACAGCTTCTGTTGATTCACAAACAGATGCATTAATTCAGAAAGTCATAAGAGAAGACTTTTCAGACTCTACTGTCGTTAGCATTGCTCACAGGATACCCACTGTCATGGACTGTGATCAGGTTCTAGTCATTGATGCAGGTATACTTTCTTTATTCATTTTTCTCAACAAACAGTGATCGAATGTTCATCAGTTTTCTTACTATGAAGGTCAACTAACTAACTTATGCTGGTTTGTTTTCACAGGGTATGCAAAAGAATTTGACAAACCTTCGCTTTTGATTGAAAAGCCCTCACTTTTCGGGGCATTGGTTCAGGAATATGCAAACAGATCATCTGGTTTATGAATGTACATCTAAACGAAATTATTTCGCATAGATCACGCATGAAATATATTACAAGAAGCAAGCTACAACTTATTCAAAACTTCTTACAAGTTCAGATCCCCAAGAATGCACGTGACTGAGATTCCCAATGCTCCTTTGTCTGTCGAATCCTTTCTGCTCTCTCACTTTGAAGCCTTTCCTCCCAATATTCAGGGCATCTGTACAAGTTTCATAAAGCTTCATGTCATATCTAAAATCAAGTAATAGCATGTTTTTCATAGTAAAAAACGTACCTTCGACTAAGTAAAATATTGAGCTCGTCCAGATGGAGAGATCCATTGTAAACTCCTGCCTGTAAAAAGTAAAAACAACACTAAGATATAATTCGCCAAATGGTTATCATGCAAATTTCAGAGAGAGAGTATACTTCTCGACACAGAGGACATTTGGCAGTAGGTGCGGTTGCCTTCAATCCATCAACAATTGTTACTGATCCAGATTTGCAAGCACACATGAAGCAGAATATATGTCCACAACTCAGATACACAGGATCAAATACAGTATCCTGATCATTCAATAAATACAAATAACAGATTAATCAATAGCAGATACTATATGATTTTTAATTAATCACGTTATGCATTAATTATTATAACAAAAATTTACAAGGCATGATAAAGGACTGACCAAGCATATGGAACAAGTCAAATCTATCTCAAGCTTCACAGTATCAGACAGCTCACAAGAAAGTGATGGTTTTCCATCATTAAATACAAGAGAACATCCCTCTAATAAGATTTCAGAACCTTTCCTTAAAGCTTTCTTTGATTCCCTTAAGTTAATGTGGAAGGCAATAAGCTCACAAAGCCATGGAGACTGAAGGAGTTCCATGTGCATGCTCTGGACTTGTGACCTGAATGCTTGCCCTTGTTTAGAGTCATGTATCTGCAGGAAAAAAGTTATGAGTGCTCAACTGCTCATGTTTTTATTTTGAAGAATCTAAAAGCTCTTTGATAATTATATATAAGACAAATAAAAACCTTATCATATTTCTTAAGAATTTTACGCATAGCAATGGCATTGATAACTGCATAACCAACAAGGTCCTTGCCTTCTTGTATTAAAGAATGATGATTTTGGTTTCCTTGGCCATGTAACTTGGCTTTGCACCACATGAAGTACTTGTGGAAGCCTGTTGCCAGATGAACATCAAGCACCTTTTGTGCACGCTCATTAAAACATCCAACCACCACAGACATCTCCTTCATAAGGGAAGGAAAGAAGCTTCCATCGCAGACTACATCAACATTTATTACAATTAATAAATCACGACTATATATTCAACAACTGTATATGCAAATTCGTACAAACAATATTCCAGAATTACACCATTCACACATCGTATTACGATAAAGCTTGTGTGGAGTGACTATGCAACAAATTTCACCTCTACCCAATCATAATATTAGCTTAAAGAAACAGAGAGATACGTAGGAAGAGACGAACAAGAATAACATCAATAAAAAGAAAGTAATGATGCTGACAAGTAAAGAAACCAAGAAAATGGTGTGATTTATATTAATCATCGTCTTCCTCTTCTCCTTCTTAAATGGGTGGGTTCTAGTTTAAGATTTAACAAAATTAAATAAGAAGCGTGTAACAGAAGCACCTCTGTGACAATACATCAAACACCTTAAAGACTAAGTCAGGATATTGATATACAAAACTAAAAAACCCAAAGAATACGTTATAAATTAAGAACCAGAAACATCTGTAAAGTAACAAAGTAGGATAAATAAAATACCTGGGCAAGGGTGCAGGCAACGCGCATGAGAGTTATGATGAGCAGAGTCATTAAGAAGCAATGGGGAATTCTGTAACTGAGTTGTCTCCCTGCGACAGCGCTTCAATATTTTCTTGAGATTTTTAAAACCCACACCAGGTAGTTTCTTCTGATCTTGCGATTGCATGTACTCCTCGTATTTCTTACAGAACTTCATCTTCTATATTAATTCTATAAAGAACAACAAGAATTAGATGTATATTTGGACGCCAATCGATCTGTGTTATTATGTTGCAATGGTGATGAAGGCCAGGGGAACGAGAACACTGTTCGTATCTTGTTGACAGAGAAAGTTAACACGATTTAAGTCCCTGGTTTTGCTGGCTTTATGTACAAAGAAGGGTGACGAAGCACCTGACCCTAGCGTGTCGCCGTTCCCGAAGATAATACAAGAAAGGGTCAACTTTCTTCAGATTTTCCTCTATATTTAAAGTTTTAAACCATAAGAAATTAACAACTTGGTGCTAATTTAACTTTAATTTATAAAAAAACTAAAAACTAAAAATTTTAATATATTTTTCAATAAATAAATTATTCATAACAGTTATTACAATTAATAATTAATAAGTAAAATTAAAACCAATTAATAAACGTGATCGTGTCTAATATGGAGTTTTTTAAAGTTTTTTTTACCTTTTCTTTAAGTTAAAAAAAATGTGGAAGAATAATTTTGTTTTGCCATTAAATTTTACAAAGACACAACCATATAATTATATAGTATTTAATTTAAATGTATATAAATGGAGATGGGGAAGAAATGATTTACCAACCCACTTGAGTAATGGTGGCCATTTTAAACAACTGTAAACCATGGCTTTTCACAATAAACAAAATTTAAATACCAGTGGGCTTTTGACATTATGGCTGCCATCCATGATTAAAAAAGAAATAGTATATACCCTTGTTAAAACAATTAAAAAGAAGTATTTATCTGAACGGTGAACATAAATTCAAGACTCATATAGAGGTTAACTGTTAGAAATAATATTTTCGGTAAACCAATATTTTGAACCTAAACTTTGAGCGTATTTGATATGTAACGTTTGTAAGTTTTTAATTTTAAGTATTCGACAAAACATTCTATTTTAAGTAAAAAAATTTGTTTGTTACCATAAGCTTTTAGCGTTTAATTTAAATAAAACGTTCAAAATTTAAAAATTGTCTCACATAACATTTAACAAAACGTTACCCGCTACCAGTTAAACACGATCTAGGTGTGAAATTTTGTATTTAAGTATATCATTGTACTCTTTTGGTTACTTTTTTATAGCAATTTTATTATAATTTTATAAATTTTTAAAACATGATACTCTAAAGCCAAAACAATATTTTTGGAAAATCAACTATAGTCAATATCTTTATATTGCCAACAAATTCAAATTATTACATAGAGTAATGAACTTTATTTCTTTTATTTCCGTCCTACTATATTTGGTATGGATCTTATCTTATCTTTTAGACTTGACAAAACCTGACACGATACGACAATTCAACACAAACCCGATACGAAATTAGCAGGTTTGGGTAACATATTTCAACACATTTATGTAAACAAATTATAGTAGATATGAGTATATCTACTCAATCAAGCACAAGTCAGAAACCTTTGAAAAGTTCAAAGAGCTTAAGCATGAATTGGAGAATCAGTTAGGCAGGAAAATCAAGATGTTTCGATCCGATCGAGGAGGATAGTACTTAATTCTTGAATTCCACAACTACCGCAATTGAATGGTGTAGCTGAGAGACGTAATCGAACCTTGCTAGACATGGTTCGTTCCATGATGAGTCGTGCTTCGCTATCTATTTTATTCTGGGGGTATGCCTTAGAGACTGTCGGCCATATCCTTAACTTAGTCCCGTACAAAGAAGGTAGCCAAAACACCTCACGAGATGTGGACATGGAAAGCTCCCTCGTTAGCACATAAAGGTGTGGGGTTGCGAGGCTTTCATAAGACGAGAGACTCACGACAAGCTCGAACCTCGTAGTGAGCGGTGTATTTTCATCGGTTATCCGCAAAAGTCATTTGGATATCTATTCTATAAACCGAGTGACAATGTTGTCTTCGTTGCGAGGAGAGGGGTTTCCCGAGAGCAAGAACTCATAAGCCAAGGGGATAGTGGGAGGCAAATCGATCTTGAAGAGCTTCAAGAATCGAATGATGAAGGAACCTCTAACACTGGCGCTCAACTTGAGGAGGAAACTCAAGTTGAACCGATTGACGAGTTCTTACCTCTTAGACGTTCCAGTAGAGTTAGTGCTCCACCTATGCTATATGGTTTTCATATAACAAGTAAGGGTAATAAGTTTATTAGTGATAGTACACTAATAAATTTAAATGAACCTAATAGCTACAAGGAAGCCATGGCAGGCCCGGAGTCTGCAAAATGGAAAGAGGCTATCGACAACGAGATTCAGTCCATGTATGACAACCAATTCTGGAATTTGGTTGACAATGTGTCAGGTCATAAGACGGTCGGGTGCAAGTGGATCTTCAAGAAGAAGATTGGCATGGATGGGAAGGCACACACTTATAAGGCACGATTGGTTGCGAATGGATTTACTCAAACTCCCGGAGTTGAATATGATGAGACCTTCTCACCAGTTGTGAAGATAAAGTCTATTAGGGTGATGCTAGCTATAGTTGCGTTTCATGATTATGAAATATGGCAGATGGATGTCAAAACTGCTTTCCTTAATAGGAAGTTGAATGAGGATGTTTACATGAATCAGCTAGAGGGTTTTGTCGATGTGAAACATCCTAATAGAGTGTGTAAGCTTGAGAAATCCATTTATGGATTGAAACAAGCGTCTCGCAGATGAAATCTTTGTTTCGATGAGAAAGTCAAAGAGTTTGGCTTCTTCGAAGTGAGGATGAATCATGTGTATATGTCAAAGCCAGTGGGAGTATATTTAGCTTCCTCGTATTGTATGTCGATGACATACTACTCATAGGAAACGACATCCTGTCCCTGCAGGAAGTCAAGTCCTAGCTTGGGAAAGGTTTCGCTATGAAGGACCTCGGAGAGGCTGCCTATATTCTGGAAATAAGGATAGTGAAACAGAAGTAAAAGACTAATAGGACTTAGTCAAAATACTGAATTGGAAAAGTTCCAAGCAGGAGACCGTAGCTGATTCAACGTGTGAATGAGAGTACATAGCGGCGAGCGAAGCGTCAAAGTAGGCAATATGGTTAAAGAACTTCATCAGAGACCTTGGAGTTGTGCCAGCCATAAAGGAGCCTATGGAGATTTTCTGCGATAATGAAGGAGCGGTTTCCTTGACCAAGGAACCGAGGGACCATGGTAGATCTCGACGTATCGACATAAAATATCATTTTATTTGACATCGGGTGGAAGAGGGACTCCTTGTAATGAAGAGGGTATCGTCAGAGGATAACCCGACAAATCCCCTCACGAAGGGACTGAGTAGGGTTAAGCACTTGCAGCACGCTAAGAGCATTGGGCTGAACGACGATATTAGTTTAGATTAGATAGCTTCGAAATGTGTAATAGATAAATTGTAATTGGCATTTGATTATTAAATAAAGGATTATTATTTATGAGTAAAGTTACTGTCTTATGTTAACTATTTACCAATTGTTTCATTTTGCATGTTTTGACTTCATGAATAATAAGATTATTCGAACAGTCCACAGTTGTTCATACTTTGGAAGTAGGTATGAAAGAATATTGTCATGAATTGGTTTGTAAACTGTCTAAAGTGTATAGCAAAATTTTGTTGCAGAGTTCATGAATGCTTATGAATAAGATTTGAGCATTGGAATAGACCCACACTTGCTGGTATCACTTTAGGGAATTTATCACGAGTGATCGCAAGACGATAATATCATATGGTCTTGAAACCTAGATATATGGTTTATTGTTTGCAAGTTGGTTGTGCATTGATAATGTGTAAACGCATCAGTAACTTGATGTTATAAAACGCATTGTTGTGCATGATTTGATGAGTGAATGGTAAATGCATATAAGTCGAAGTTTATCTGTTCCTTTTATCTTAAGAGGGTAAAAGCGATATATGGGGCCCTAGATGATTTGGTTTGACTTATGTGTCGCGCCCGGTCAGGACTGAATTGATGTGTTCAATGAAGTTCTATGTCAGAAAAATCTGAGATCGAGAAACAAACTGTTGGACAATAAGTATGACTATGTTCCATGTAATTGTTTGCACGATATCTAGAACGGAGGACTATACGATCCCTTATCTAAAGGACAAGTAACTGATAAGATCAGAGTCCGATAACACCTTTGAGAGCTACGATTGCTAATCGGATGCTGAAGTCTTACTTGCATTTATAGTTACTAGACTTATCCAAGTGGGAGACTGTTGGATTGGTGTCTAAGCCTGTAACTATATTTGGTATGTATTTGACCCGGTTGTGCGTGGTCCTTTTAGGTTGCTGTAACATCCCGAAATATCAAGAGTAGAGTTGAAGGGTGGTGGTTGTCGAGGCCAACACAAATAATAACCCTAAATATTACACACTAAAATAGTGTATAGTGGTAAAGGGATCGAATCCATGGAGATTGGTTCAATTTCTAACTCTATGAAAAATCTCTTTATAAAAATACTTGTGAAATAACAATAAAAAAATAAAATGGGGGGTTTTGGTGTTTTGAAATACTTGAAGCTAACTAGAATTAACTATGATTTAAATAGACAATTGCAACAAAAATAAGAATTTGATGTAAAATCAATAAGGGAAAGATGGTTGACTTAAAGTTTTCTCACTTTGACTTTTGATGAACATATCATTAGAATTCAATGGTGCAATACTTGTTTTAAATCCTCAATTTGACTATAGTAATCCAAGAAGCTTGAGATTACCTAGACTTTTCTTAATTGTTGAAATGGCTAGAGAAGCTCATAACAATTTCCTTAGTCAAAGTCACTAATTCCAAATAGCATGTAATTAGTGAAAGTCAACTAGCATTAAGAACCAAAAAGTCACCAAATCCAAGAGGGGTCAAATGCTTTCACCACCATGTTGGAGGAAAATGTTTTTATGATTGTGTGAAGTAAAAACAACACAAAAATCATTTGTTGCTTGCTAATTTGAGGATCCTTTACTTAATCAAGAAATTAGCCAACTAATCACCACAAACACATTTAAACTCATGAACTAAAACATACAAGTA